GCTGGAAAAGCGTCTAGTTCTTGACTGTCATGAATTCCTTTAAAAAACTATTTTTTACACATTTACATTTTTTTTTCGAAATGTAAGATATTGTTTAAAGTGAAGTCCCGATATTTGTAAAAGCAAATTTCAATGTGAACATGTCTCTGCAGTGATTTTTCATTGTGTTAGACGTGCTTCTTAGCAAGTCTGCTTTCTTAGACTGATACCTGGATTGTGCCTGGTTAGTAAGTTCGATTTCGCATCTACTTGTTGACACTTTCTTTAGTAAATGTCTTTGTTGTCTAAAAGTAGACGGTCGCTATTAAAAAGTAGACGTTAGCCCACAGAAATGTCCCTAGGCACATTAGTTAATCAGGGCCTATATGTCTAGGGACATCAAATCAACAATACAAAATTTTAAAGTTGCCTAAAAAGAAACTTAATTGTAGCCTGACAAACCTGAACTATTGCGTAAAAATCCACTCATGTGTATCTTTGATTTCAGGTGACTATTTCCCCAAATACCAATAAGCCTTCATTTTCCAAATAAAACCTCCCACACCATACTTGTCAAACTTACATAGTTACATAGTTAGTCTGGCTGAAAAAAGACAAAAGTCCATCCAGTTCAATCATTAAAAAAAAAAAAAGTTATAATCCTATACCCACAGTTGATCCAGAGGAAGGCAAAAAAAAAACAGCAAAGCATGATCCAATTTGCTCCTGGAGGGAAAAAAAAAAATCCTTCCTGATCCCCCGAGTGGCAATTGGATATTCCCTTATCTTAAGTCTGCATTTGAAGAGCATTTTATATAAAGAATATTCAGACAAGAAGTCCTTCTCTAGCAAAACAACACATTGCGTCTGCATTCTAGCCAGCACCTAACCAGTTCAGCATTTTTGCATTTTTGCGCACATGTAAAAATCTGTATTTTTGGTCATAAAATTACTTAAAACGCCCAGAATAATATATAGTTTTTGAAAGCAGAGGCCTGGTAGTATACAAACATAGTAGTTGCATTTTTTAGGTCGCACGATATTTCAAGAAAAAAATAACAAAATGATTGTTAGTGCAAACACACACAATATAATACCCCATTTTTTTCATTAAAATATAAAAGACAGGGCTGCGTGGTGTAATTATATACCAAACATGTCAGGCCTTACTCTTCAGTCACACCGAATCCGACTTTGAAATCATGCGACTTCACTTGAATTCACACAATTTCAAAGTCAGATGTCAGTGCAGCTTCAGGTGCGACTTGGAAGACATCTGTGCGACTTCATGCACCTGAACTTGCAAAAAGTAGTGCATGAACTACTTTCAAAATCTTTCATTGTGGACAATAGGGTGGGACTTATCATGCGATTTGAAACAATCAAATTGCATAATTCACACCAGTGTAACCGGGGACTTCAAATTGTGTGCACCTGTGATACCGCAAAATTATGGTACCCAAAAAGTATCACAGGCAACAGTTTTTTAGCATTTACTGCTCATCAGTTTAGAGTTAACTGTGAGCTGTGGTACTAGAATTATTGCTCTCACTATGACATTCATGACATGTGTGGTGCAATCACAGGTGTGCACTCTCTGCATTCATTTGCATTTCTTGGTTTGTGCAGGTCAATGGGGGTTATTGTTTTTGTTTTTCTAATACATTTTATTAAATGTTCTTTTTTACATTTTTATTTAACTTTATTGCTATCATAATATCTGGAAATATTGGGAGTGTATTAGACCCCAATGTCTCCCCTGCCCTCCAAAGCAGGTAACCAAGCTGCAGGCGTCAAGTAAAACCTCCACTTTAGCAAGAAGAACAATAGGCAACACTTCAAATCTCATGAGATTTACAGTCAGAGGCAGCAGTGCCTTGGATTTTACATTGCATTGCAGATATGCAGCTATGAGACTCAAGGCATAGGAAGAGCACATGTGGGAGGGTTGCAATTGATTGGATGGGTGCTACCCCAAATGGGAGGGTTGGGGTTGACTCTGTTTCTGGTCTTTGGTTTTGGCTTTATGGCTTTATCTTTGGGTCTGACCCACTGCTCCTGTGAATATGGTGAGGGATGGTGGGCCGGGCCAGAGAGTTCCCCTGGCAGAAGTCCAAGAACCTTGTGGCTGGCCCATGAGCCGTGTCCCATGAGAGGTACACCAACTTAGATCGGGAGAGACATCCAACCTGGGGTTCACCCCGAAGACACCAACTACTGGGGAATGCCACAAAAATGGACCCTTTATCCACGTGGACTCTACCTTTGCAGGTACGCCGTTGCAATATATAGCTTGGTTAGGAGTAAAGATGTAGGGATAATGGCTATTTCATTGGAGTTCTTGTTGAACTGTTTAGTCTGTTTTTGGTCTTTGTACTGTTGCACTTTATTTCAATAAAGCGTTAAACTTTGCCTTCTGCCGGGTCCGAAGTCCTTTAACCGTTTCAATACCATGCAATTTTACACCTTCCTGCCCAGGCCAGTTTTCAGGTTTCAGCGCTCTCACACTTTGAATGACAATTGCGCGGTCATACAACATTGTACCCAAACTAAAATTTGATCATTTTCTTCACACAACTAGAGCTTTCTTTTGGTGGTATTTAATCACCGCTGGGGTTTTTATTTTTTGCTAAATTAACAAAAAAAGCCCAAAAATTTTGAAAAAAAAAACACATTTTTCTTTGTTTCTGTTATAAAAGTTTACAAATAAATAATTGTTCTTCATAAATTTAGGCCGAGATGTATTCTGCTACATGTCTTTGGTGAAAATAACCCAAATTAGGATGTATTTTTTAGTTTGTAGGAAAGTTATAGAGTTCACAAACAATGGTATAGATCTGAATATTGATCAATCCTGAAGTACTGACAGCCAATCTAATTTCTTGAGGTCCAAGAATGTCAGAACAGTACAGATATCCCCCAAATGACCCCTTTTTGCAGAGTAGACAGTCCGACGTACTTCATAAGAGGCATGGCGAGTTTTTTGAAGTTGTATTTTTTTGTCATAATTTTTCGGAAAATGAAAAAATTAAAAAAAGTATTTTCACTATTTTTTTTTTTTACATACTGTCACCAGTGCAGTACAGCGTCATCATATAACTGGCATGGCGGTGAACAGCGACACTGACTGGTGACAGTATGAAAAAAAAAATATATATATTTTTTTTTTTTTTTTTTTATTATTTTAATTTTTATATTTAATTTTTTATTTATTTTTTTTTAAGATTTTTTTTCATATTTTACTATGACCAAAATAGTACAATGTTACCATAGTAACACTGTACTACTTTGGGGAAGTGATCAGTATTTTTTTTTTTTTTTTTTTTTTTTTACACAATTTGCTTATAGCAAAGAATTACTTTGCTATAAGCAAGCATTTACCTGAATGAAATCGATTCATTCAGCTTTTTTTTTTTTTTTTTGTGCTTAGCTGTGATTTGGTCACAGCTAATCACATGACATGTGCATGTGATTAGCTGTGACCATTCACAGCTAGGCACTAGTATACAATGGATGGCATCATGAATGAAGCCATCCATTGTATACAACTGTCATGTGACCTGCTGTGATTGGTCACAGCAGGTCACATGGTACCGGCAACGGGAGCCGGTACTCGGATCTGTCATCGGCCGTGTCCGAGGTGCACGGGCGGTGACAGATCGCACTGCTGCGTCGCTCTGCAACCGCGCAAACCGTGCATGTGCGGGAGCACGCCAAATGGCGTGCACCCGGAAAGCTGCAGCGCTTTTCAAGCCGCCAAACGGCCATTGGCCGGGCGGCTAATGGTTAAAAGGGGTGCACTGCAAGTAACTGGCACATATCTGTACTCAGTATTTAGTTTGGGTCATTAGCACATGGGTATAAAGAGTCAGCATGTTCAGAGTCATTCTAGTGCAAGTTATATATGTGGTTCCAAGAGCAACGGAGATACTCTTAGCAAGCAGCCTGTCAGAAACATGTAGCTGTTATAGGTGGAAGTGCCTGGAGATGTTGTTGGCACTCCCTATGCCACATTCCATCTTCCATAGCAACCGGAGTGGAACTGCACTGCAGAGTTCCCCATCCTGTACAGAGGTACAGAAGTTCAAGAGTCAAGTGTCAAGTGCTGATCCCCTGAAAAATGCCGCCCTAGTCAAGTGCCTTGTTTGCCTTGTGGTGAATACAACCCTGGCAGTGGGAGCCATTAGGTTCAGCCGCTGTCAGGCAAAACCTGTGAGGCAGAGGGCAGGACCGAGCCAGGCTGTGTGTATCTATTAGCTTGGAAGAGAGCCCACACAAATGTCCCCTGAAGAAGGGGCTCCTATGGTGGCACACAGAGAAGATGAGGAGCAGAGAGGATCCCAGAAGAGAAGGTTCGGGGATGCTCTATGCAATACCCATGCACAGAGCCGATAAGTGTAACATCTTTTTTATTGTTATTTAAAAAAAAGACTTTACAACCTATTTAATACACATTGCAATACCTTTATTCTGGACTACATAACTACACGTGGACACAACCAGTGCTGGCATATAGAGCCTCCCTCAAACTCCTGCTTCCATGGGATCGGATGGGGCAAGCATGAGCACTAGTGCAAGGCCTCACGGGGATTCCACTGGAATAGCCACCCAACGCAGTTCTGGTGTGAATTTATCCTAATATTTGAAAGCAGCTATGATGACTTCCTGATTTCCAACGCACATACCCGCATGGAAGAAAAATATATTTGAAATATATTTTAAAAATATTCTTCCCAAATATTTAGCAATAATCAATATATTTCAAAATATATTTCAATATATATATATACTGTATGTTGAAATGAGTTTTTATTACAAAATATATGCTAAATATTTTTTAAAATACATTTCAAAATACTGTATGTCTTTAAAAATACAAATCTATATTTTTGGAATTCATTTACAAATATATGTAAAAATATATGTTAAAATTACTTTTTTATATGTTAAAAAAATTTGAAGAATATACCGTATTTTTCGCTCCATAAGACGCACCTGACCATAAGACGCACCTAGGCTTTAGAGGCGTAAAAAAAAAGAAAAAAAAATATTCTGAACCAATGGACTGCAGACACAGTACAGGGGATGACCAGAGACTGCGGACACAATACAGGAGATGACCAGAGACTGCGGACACAATACAGGAGATGACCAGAGACTGCGGACACAGTGCAGGAGATGACCAGAGACTGCGGACACAGTGCAGGAGATGACCAGAGACTGCGGACATAGTACAGGAGATGACCAGAGACTGTGGACACAGTGCAGGAGATGACCAGAGACTGCGGCACAGTGCAGGAGATGACCAGAGACTGCGGACACAGTACAGGAGATGACCAGAGACTGCGGACACAGTACAGGAGATGACCAGAGACTGCGGACACAGTGCAGGAGATGACCAGAGACTGCGGACATAGTACAGGAGATGACCAGAGACTGCGGACACAGTACAGGAGATGACCAGAGACTGCAGACACAGTGCAGGAGATGACCAGAGACTGCGGACACAGTACAGGGGACATGACCAGAGACTGCTGACCTTTGGGGAGGGAGGGGGAGCGGGTACCTGAATTTGACAGGTACCCGCTCCCACTTCCGCGGAGTTGTCCTTCGCTCTTCTTCCCGGGCCGGCTTCTGTGACAGCCGGGTGCCCACTGCGCATGCGCGAGAAGCGCTGCGCTTTGTGAATGGCCCGGCGCCTTCTGGGACCTGTCATGTGTCCCAGAGGACACCGGATCATTCACAAAGTGCAGCACATGCGCAGTGGGCACCAAGCTGTCACAGAAGCCAGCGCGGGAAGACTGTGCAGCGCTGGAGCTTGGAACAGGTAAGGCCCTGCAGGAGAGAACAGTTGAGCGGCCGGTATTCCTGGTATTCTGACATGGTGGCGGCAGAAATACCGGACCGGCCGCTTTATATTCGCTCCATAAGACGCACTGATATTTTCCCCCCTTTTTTGGGGGGAAAAAAGTGCGTCTTATGGAGCGAAAAATACGGTATTTAAAAAATATATATTTTTAAAAATATTTTTCATATATTTTGTATATATAAAAAACGCATTTCAACATGCAGTATATATATAAATATATATTTTTTTAAAATATAGTCTTCAGATTTTTTTTAACATATAAAAAAGTAATTTTAAAATATATTTTTACATATATTTGTAAATGCATTCCAAAAATGTAGATTTGTATTTTTAAAAACATAGGGTATATTTGAAATGTATTTTTAAAAATATTTTCATATATTTTGTAATAAAATCTCATTTCAACATACAGTATATATATACTTTTATATATATATATTGAAATATATTGAATATGGCCAAAATTGTAGTATTTCAAATATATGTCAATATATTTGAGAAAAATGTTTTTAAAATATATTTCAAATATATTTTTCTTCCAAGTGGGTAACCAAGATTTGTTTAAAGGTGGGCAGTGGTCACCATAGTTGCTGAAATAATTTTCATTATTTGTTATCAACTGTAATCCTATGTGGGCAAAACTAAATTCACTGGTAGAATGCCATTTAATGAAAATATACTTTAATTCTGAAACCTGTGCACAGAATAACTGAAGTAGAGTAGTTGCTAAGGAAGATAGGTCTGGCAGTTATCTTCATGACTGAATTGGTACCAGTTAAATGAATCGTAAGTCAGTTTGTAAAGAATTACAGTAGTCCACAGTGGAAATGATGAGTGCATAGATTAAAGAAGGGGTGAATTGGCAAGATTTCCTTTAGCTTTCCCAGAGCCTTAATTTAAGGGGAAAGCGTAGAGCAGAATCAAAGGTGACTCCTTGGCATTGGGCTTCTCTTAAGGGTTTAACATTTGCATCATTCACTGAGAGAGTGAGTTGAGGTATACGGTAGATATGGGTGGTATTACACAAAGGTATTTCTATAAAAAGGGATAGTTTATAAGGCAGAGGGACACCGTTAATGAAGAGAGGGGAAACCTCTTTTTATATAACACATTACTAACCTTAAAGCTTGCCATGCTCACAGATCCAGTTGCTACGTGACATGCCCTGACATCCCCATTAATGTAGCCTGCTTTAAATCTCATTGTGCTTGGCTGCCGTAGATCTACAGATAGTTTGCAGTGATTATTTTCTATAATCATCCTTCATTGTAGGTGCAGAGTTTTCAATAAGGCATAGCTACAGAGCACGATTTCTCTAGCTCATTATATTTTTAGTATAATGTTCCATGTTACTCAAGCCTAGTTCTCATGTCTGCAGGCTGCAGTCATTTGAATCATTCTTACTGACTTGGTATAAAAATAGGAAAATGCTATTTCAGTCTTATACTGTATTTATTGCTTCCAGTCGCTTCTTTATTGGACTGAAAAACAGAACTTGGCTTCTAATGTCTTGCAACTTATTTGTCATATTAGGTAGAATGTAGTCAGTGTACTCTAGTTCTTTCCCAGTGTCTGTGAAGCTGTCTAGAAATGGACTGACATCCTAGGTTGCTGCCCACCCTAAATTGTAAAGCTGTCACTTTGACTCTTGTCACACTGCTGCTTTCCAGTCAATAGTGTGACACTATCTTAGAGCAGAGGCGTTTAACTATACAGGCAAGATAGACAAGCCTGTCCAATAAATTACACCAGAGGATAACATTTGTGTTTGCATATTCTAGTTAAGGATAAATATATATTATGTTATATTTCATTTAATAATTGAGAGTAAAAATATTTGTTTTGCCATATTGGCAGTAAATGCAGGAGGCATTCAGTTGCTCAACCCTATTTATAAGTCCAGTCCAAATGCCCATAGGTGGGATTCTGTTGGTGTCTAAAAACCAAAGGCTGCATCGAAAACAAGGAACAAGATGGAATGTTGATTATATATATATATAGTCTCTCTCAGAAGTGAGTACACCCCTCACATTTTTGTAAATATTTTATTCTATCTTTTCATGTGACAACACTGAAGAAATGACACTTTACTATAATGTAAAGTAGTGAGCGTACAGCTTGTATAACAGTGTAAATTTGCTGTCCCCTCAAAATAACTCAACACACAGCCATTAATGTCTAAACCGCTGGTAACAAAAGTGAGTACAATTAGCCATTTTCTCTCCCCGGTGTCATGTGACTTGTTGGTGCTACAAGGTCTCAGGTGTGAATGGGGAGCAGGTGTGTTAAATTTGGTGTTATCACTCTCACTTTCTCATACTGGTCACTGGAAATTCAACATGGCACCTCATGGCAACTCTCGGAGGATCTGAAAAAAATAATTATTGCTCTATATAAAGATGACCTAGGCTATAAGAAGATTGCCAATACCCTGCAACTGAGTTGAAGCATGGTGGCCAAGACCATACAGCGGTTTAACAGGACAGGTTCCACTCAGAAAAGGCCTAGCCATGGTCGACCAAAGAAGTTGAGTGCACGTGCTCAGTGTCATATCCAGAGGTTGTCTTTGGGAAATAGACGTATGAGTGCTGCCAGCATTGCTGCAGAGGTTGAAGGGGTGGGGGGTCAGCCTGTCAGTGCTCAGACCATATGCTGCAGACTGCATCAAATTGCCCTGCATGGCTGTCATCCCAGAAGGAAGCCTCTTCTAAAGATGATGCACAAGAAAGCTCGCAGTTTGCTGAAGACAAGCAGACTAAGGACATAGATTACTGAAACCATGTGCTGTGGTCTGATGAGACCAAGATAAACTTATTTGGTTCAGATGGGGTCAAGCGTGTGGGGCAGCAACCAGGTGAGGAGTAAAAAGACAAGTGTGTCTTGCCTACAGTCAAGCATGGTGGTGGGAGTGTCATGGTCTGGGGCTGCATGAGTGCTGCCGGAACTGGGGAGCTACAGTTCATTGAGGGAACCTTCGGAGACTGGGCCGCAGGGCAATATTCCAACATGATAACGACCCCAAACACACCTCCAAGACAACCACTGCCTTGCTAAAGAAGTTGAGGGTAAAGGTGATGGACTGGCCAAGCATGTTTCCAGACCCTATTAAGCATCTGTGGGGCATCCTCAAACAGAACGTGGAGGAGTGCAAGGTCTCTAACACCCACCAGCTCCATGATTTCATCATGGAGGAGTGGAAGAGGACTCCAGTGGCAACCTGTGAAGCTCTTGTGAACTCCATGCCCAAGAGGGTTAAGGCAGTGCTGGAAATTAACCACTTGCCCTCTAGAGGATTTACCCCCCTTAATGACCAGGCCCCTTTTTGCTACTTGGCGCTGCACTAATTCAACTGATAATTGCGTGGTCCTGCAATTCTGTACCCAAACGAAGTTTACGTCTTTTTTTCCACATAAATAGAGCTTTCTTTTGGTGGTATTTGATCACATGTGCGCTTTTTATGTTTCGCGCTATAAACAAAAAAAGACTGAAAAGTTTGAAGAAAAACTATATTTTTTACTTTCGGCTATAAAAAATATATAGTAGACATATATAGTAAACTCACAGTTAGTTATAAATTTAGACCAAAATGTATTCTGCTACATGTTTTTGGTAAAAAAAATCCCAATAAGTGTATATTGATTGCATTGTGTGAAAGTTATAGCGTCTACAAACTATGGTATAGATACTGCAATTTACGCCATTTTTTTGCTATACAGCGCTGCACTAGTTTAACTGACAATTGCACAGTCATGCAATACGGTACATAAATGAAATTTATGTCCTTTTTTTCACACAAATAGAGCTTTCTTTTGGTGGTATTTGATCACCTGTGCGCTTTTTATTAATAAAAAAAGTTTGAGAAAAAATATTTTTTTGAAAAAAACAATATTTTCTCATTTCTGTCATAAAAAATATCCAAAAAAACAAAAATGTTGTCATAAATTTAGGGCAAAATGTATTCTGCTACATGCTTTTGGTTAAAAAAATCTCAATAAGTGTATATTTATTGCTTTGTGTGAAAGTTATAGCGTCTACAAACTATGCTATGGTATGGTATGGTACTGCTCATCACATTTTTTGAGGTGCTAAAATACCAGCATAGTACAAACACCCCCAAATGACCCCTTTTTGTAAAGTAGACACCCTAAGCTACCTGCTGAGAGGCATATTGAGTCCATGGAAGATTTTTTTTTTTCCACAAGTTTCTGGAAAGTTGTCATTTAAATTATATATTTCTCACACAAGACATGGGCATATGTGAAATTACACCCTAAAATACATTCTGCTACTTCTACCGAGTATGGGGATGCCACATGTGTGAGACTTTTTGGGAGCCTAGCCACATACAGGAGCCTGAAATCCAATGACCACTTTGAAAGCCTGAAGGTGCGTAACTTCCTCATTTTACTTCCTCACTACTTATTACAGTTTCGGAGGCCCTGACATGCCAGGATAGCACCAAACCCCTGAAAATGACCCCTTTTTGGAAAGTAGACACCCCAAAGAATTTAAAAAGAGGCATAGTGAGTATTTTGTAGATCTCATTTTTTATCACAAGGTTTTGAAATATAAAAAAAGAAAAGAAAAAATACGTTTTTGTTTTTTTTCTTCATATTCCAAAAATTTGTGGCAACAAACGAGATCTGCAAAATATTCACCATGCTTCTATTCAAATTCCTTGGGGTGTCTACTTTCCAAAAAGTGGTCATTTGGGGGGGTTGGTGCTATCCTGGCATTTCAGGGTCTCCGAAACTGTGTAGGTAGTCAGGAAGTGTAATGAGGAAATAAAGCTCTTTAAAAGCCTGAAGGTGCTTATTGGATTTTGGGGTCCTGTACTTGGCTAGACTGCCAAAACGTCTCTCATATGTGGTACCCCCATACTCA